CATGTTTCTTCTGGCAAATGTCCATTTCTGAAAACAGATACTAAAACTATGTACAGTTAAACAAAGGTACAAACTGACACTGCACTCGTTAATTGAGCAACATTTGCAACTTAAGTCTAAAGTTCTTCAATCCTGTTTATTATAATTAGAAGAAGGGTCTAGGCCCAAAACGTCAGCCTTCCTGCTCCTCTGATGCTGCTTGGCCTGCTGTGTTCATCCAGCTCTACACCTTGTTTTCTATTATAACTAGAATATTGGCAAAGCTACCAATAGTCTCACCAATAACTTAGAAGGGATTCACAGCTATCGAAGAGAGGCCTGTGCTCAACTATTCACATTTACATAAAGATAGAAACAGACATCTGGTTAACACAGTAGGCCAGGCAGCATCAGAGGAGCAGGAAAGCTGACGTTTCAGGTCGGGACCCTTCTTCAGAAAATTTTTCATCTTGCTGAAGGTCCTGACCTGAAACATCAGCTTTCCTGCTCCTCTGATGCTGCCTGGCCTGCTGTGTTCCTCCAGCTCCACTCTCATCTCAGACTCCAGCACTAGCAGTTCTTACTATCACTAACAGACATCTGGTTATTGCCTACTATACCATGAACATGATCAGCAAAACACAAAAATTCAAATACAGTTAATTAACTGAAAATAAATTCATTTATTGTAGTGTCACACCTTCCATAAACCTGGACAGCATTATGGCTCAAGATCCAGCTCTACCTTCCACCAATTCTTCTGAATCCTCCAAATGCCAAATTATCAAATAGCTTATCCGACATCCAATTTTGAACAAGCAGATATTTCCACAATTGACCGGGTGGAAGGCAGAAGAAAGCTTACAATTGATTCCACCAAAGGGCAGCATGTAGATGCAAAGTAGGATGGAGGGAACAATAGATTTTTGAGGGATACTAGAAATAATAGTGTAGGAACAGGAAGAGAAGCAAAGCTATTTTCTGACTACATTTAGATAAATGAATGCCAAATCAAGAGTGCAGTCACACCCAGCCAAACAATAGAGAGACACTGCAGTAAAATCAGTGGTCGATCACTACAAAAGACTAGAAAATCAAGAAAGTGGAGGAAGAGACAGTCACCCTGTTCACAATGGATGGGAATGAGCAGAGGGTAAATTTGAACTATTGTTAAGGCTGGGAAGAACTGAGCCTCACTGGCAAGGGAAAAAAAAACAGGGAACAGTTATCAACTGTAAACCAGATTTTACTTGGTAGGGTATGAGACAATACTGTGCCTTCAAGAAGCATGTTCTGTCCTGTTTCTCTTGCAGAGGAGTGTTGTTTTAGTGGTGAAAAATGTCTCCTTCAGACAGGCAGCTGCTAAACAACTTAAGAGTTCTCAATAGGTGTTTCTTTTTAAAGAAAGACAAGGAAATCATGAGTGGGCAGGCTCAGGCTCAAACAGACAATCTAAACAATCAAAAAAATTAGAGTCTAGGCTATTTCCATAGCATACTTTGGGGAGGTCTAGCTTGGTCAAAACGTATGTTTACTTTTTAAATCCAGAATCAAAAATGGCAAACAAAGACAAATGCCAGGTTAAAATTAAAAAGACAAAAATGCAAAGCCCAAATGATCTGACAAGGCTGTACAACCACCAGTATTAATATAGCACTGGAGCTACAAGAAAACATACTAAAATGCTTTTAAGCCAACATTTAAAAAACTGCTAGCATGGACGACAGGCAATAAGGAGGGGCATGAACATGGACTAGAATTTAAAAAGCATTTTGGAATTGGGAATACTTTCAGATGTGCAGCAAAGGTGGCAGTTGTTTGAGATTATATAGCAGCAAATGACCTTGACAGTATGTCTGGGTTCCAGAGAGGAACACTTTTGGTGAAAGCTGCTCGAATGTTGATGTAATTGGCCACCAGTTTTGTTCACCAAAAGGACAAAGCCCTATGCCAAAGTGGTGTGTTACTCAGTGTTCTTAAACACAGATGTAGTGACATTTAATTCCATGGCAACCCACCCCCCACTACTGATAACTCATGATGTAGTATTTGGACGGTCTCCATTTATTCTGTGGAAAGAGAAAGAATATCCCTAACTTTAAAACTCCTCACCCTCCAACATAGTATTAGGAAACCTGATGGCCACAGTTTCCCATGTTATCCATAATGATTAAAAATAAATGCTTTAACCATTTCAAGTAAAATTTACTAAGTAATAATTTTGTGGACCCTGTCATGTGTAGCTAAAGACCAGTATGGTTAGTGCTAGCTGCACATAGCAATCAACACAATGTACAGACAGCACCAAGTTAGCTTACTGCCTTGAAGTCACTGAATGCGTAGAGGATAATCCTGCACAGAAATCCATATGTCAGTGTTCAAGGGTTTTCCAATGGGCAAAGCTACACAGAGCTTTAGTATAGGCTGAAAAATGTAAAGCCAGGAATGGGAATGAAGAGGAAAGCTGTACCACAATGGGATTATTTTCATTGAAAGAAAAGGGGAGATTTAATTTTTTTTTCACATTAAGATGGGTTTTGAATGAGACAATGAAAAGAATGTTCATAAGTGGATGGTCTGTGATAACAGGTCAATCATTTAAAATGGCCACCTAGAGGGATGGTGGTTAAGAAAAATATGTTGAACATAAGTAGACAAGATGCAGACCAGATGTCCTTTTAAGGGTAAATTGCAGAAATGCCTGTAGCAGGGAAAGATTTTTGTATTGTGAAGCCAAGAGTTCAATAAGTGAGGTGATCTTAAAGGTGATCTTTCTAAAAATCTAAATTTTACTTACATTTACAACTAAGATTTGTGCTTAGAAGTTTCTTCCACACTTAACTGGATATACACAGAGAAACTGTAACTAGTTAATAAGCTAATAAGTTTTTTTTTCTGTTTGCTTTTGCAGACCTGACTCATTGAAGAACAATGAGCATAAATACAAGCATTTTTTTAAGCTCTGCTTGTCTAAATAATGTGTGAAGCCAAAAAGAAAAATGGTAATCTTGAGGATTGAGAAGATTTTACTATTCTGCAAAGGAATACCAAGATAAAGTTAAGACAAGGAAAACAGTATATTCTCTGGTGGTTAGAAGAACAGGTAGTGATCTAACTTAACTATACAAAATTCTGACATGGCTTGACAAGATACAA